GATCCTGCACAATATAAAAAATATTGGGAACAGATCTCTCCCCTGGTGAACTTTGAGTGAGCCGGTTGAGTGGCCAAACACGCTGCTTGAGGCAGCCTGCAAGGTACGGTGGTAACCTGGAACGGCAACAGAAGATCCTGGGAAAGGAAGAACGATCTTGTACGTGTGAAAGGTTTTCCTGGAATAAAGAGGAACAAGTCAGAAGGGTGCCGGAGTGTGTTCCGGTGTATCCCCTCCGACGGTCTAGTCAGTCTTTGAATGAGAGAGAGGAAGAAGAAAACACTGAGAAAGATGTATTGTAGTAGAGAGTTTGCGATTTTTTTCCTACCCCTTTGCCTTTTGGGAGGAGTATTTATACCTTAAAAGCTCATGATTGCTGTCAGTGTGGTCAGTAGGTGATCATTAGGCACAGGTAGCGTGTGCATTGATTCTGATGAGGAATGTCTTCTCTAATTGACTGCTCGGGGTCCCGAGCAATCAATGCTGAGTCGTCGGGATGCCGACGGTACAATATGCTCCTTTCGGGGAGGATGCAATAAATGCTCTGTAATAGGAGCATTTATTGCCTTTCATTTCCGAACCTTACCGCATTGAATGCGGTCTCGTCAACAGAAGGGTGCAATTAATTGTTTGTTTTTCCAAGCCGTGTGTCAGTAACGGCGTGCAGTTTGTCTGTCTTTGATGTGACATCATTTGCCACACGTCCATCTACTATTGGCTGTGACTACTGTATTCCGGTATGTTCTGACATTACTTGTGTAAGACGAGGTCATGATGAGCAGCCTAGATTAGCCTAGGCTAGTGACCTATACGTCAATAGCTTATCTCGGAGTAGAGGAAGCGTCCAGGATGGAGCAACCCTCGGCACCGAGGAAAGGCTCATCTCGGGGACCGAGGGAGGTATGCGACCGAGGTACATGGGTGACCGAGGACACGTGTTGGTTGTACAATATACTGAACGCATGTCCTGTATGAGGGTACCTCGGGGGCGAGGACATTCGTTCGCGATGGCGCTTGGTCCAAGCAACAGTGTTTTGACAAACCCCGAGGACACGTGTCTTCATCATAGGGCATTTCAGAAGAGTCCCATCAGTACCATCATTGAGTAACCCGAAAGTTATAACCTTAGTATTATCCTTACCCCTAAAAAGTGTTAATTTACCCAAAAAAAGTGTTAACTTTACCCTTAAAAATGTTATCTTTATCTCTAAAAAGTGTTTAACTTGCCCTCCAAAAGTGTTAACATTATCCCTAAAAAGTGTTAACTTAAACCCAAAAAATGTTAACTGTCGGTGTTAACTTACACCCAAAAAATGTTATCCTTATTTATAAAAAATGTTAATTTACCCCCCAAAAAGTGTCAACTTTGCTCCTAAAAAATGGTAACTTACTCCCAAAAAATGTTATCCTTACCTCTAAAAAGTGTTAACTTGCCCTCAAAAAGTGTTTTAACAAAAAAATGTTATCCTTAACCCAAAAAAGTGTTAACTTAGATCCCAAAAAATATTAACTTTACCCCTAAAAAGTTCTAACTACACCAAAAAAAAACAAAAAATGGTAATTTGCCCCCAAAAAAATGATAAAATTTTTCTTATAACATTAGGTTCCTTATACCAAAAAGTGATAACCTTAACCCTAAAAAATATTAACTTACACCCTAAAAAATGTTATCTTTCCCTCTAAAAAGTGTTAACCTTATCCAAAAATGTATGTGTATTTGAGCATCTTTTCTTAGTGTGCATCTTTTAGCGTTTTTCTCTCCCCACCGACCTACTAAGTAATCAATTTAATGGATAAGCAGTAAAAGGTTAGATATTTTATCAACAATTTTAAATGATTTATAATGGGATTAACGGACCCACTCTTAAGACATACATATTCCCATTTGTCACGTGTAGATGACCACATAATTCATTAGTCAAAGTGATGATCACATGATCATTTATTTTAACTTTTACTAAGTAGGTCCCATGTGATCCACGTTGGGATATACTCTTTTGCATCACTTGTTTGTTGTATTTGGACCGTTTCATTTCATCACTGCATTGCTTTTGATTGGCCTAAAACAAGAGCATCTTCTTCCTCTTTTTTTGTTTGGATAACATGTGGATGATCAAAACAAAAGGAAAAAAAAATACATTATTTAAACATTTTATTTTATTTTTTTAATTATTTGAGTGGGTCCCCATTGATTTTTGATTTTGTTTAAAAAGTGTTACATGAAAAAGAACTATAAAAGTGTAGTGCAGTGGGTAAGGAAAAAAGACAGATTTCAGTTGTTTCCAGCTTCTAAATCTAAACAAAAGTAAAAGATTGAATAAGCCTAGTGTTGAATAAGGACAACTTTATGAATAATAGCCTATAAAACTCTCTGATATTTAACCTAAACATAAACTAATAAATAAATTCGCGAAACAATTTATGATTTTTAGTTTAAAACAAAAGAAAATTAAATAATCCAGGGCTTGATAGTCATTGTGGTCCAACATTTGAAGCAACCACTTGTGATGGCGACATTGCTTGACTGCAAACACCCCACACCGTACACACAAAAAATTACACAACAGGATAGCATAAGAAATTTTAGATAAAAGGCTTCTAAATGTACAAACAACACTACTACTACTACAAAATGATGGTTCCTTACCATACAAAAGTTTGTGTTATCAACCATCGATCGCTAAATATTTGAGAACAGGGAAGGCCAAGAATAGCAAAAAACATTCAAGAACCTCAAAGAAAATACTTTAATAAAATCAATATGGTTTGAATGTCAGAAGTCGTTGTAACAAACCTCAAAGCAATTAGTTTTTCAATTAAAAAGCCATTCGATAGAGTTGAAAATCACCTTCTTTCTTTACCCTCAATCTATCTTACAATATGGAATAAAGATGGGGATTGAGCACATTAAAAGGTAGAGATAAAGGCAATTACTTTGTAATTATTCAAATTCCCAAAAAAAAATATATCGTTAAGATGTTATCTTGCTTTTTCTCCACACTTGATTTCCCGATGTAGTTACGTACATTACCTTTGGCCTTTCCTCATTCAAATCTTTCTGAGTGTTGATTTTGCATGCTCCCTCTCTTAGTGTTCCGCCCATAGACATTCCACAATAATAACTAAAAATATTAGCGGTTGAATCTCAATGCCAGTGGAGATTTGTTATTTATAACCGATAGGATAACCACATATTAAAGCTGTTCTGATATCAAACAAATTTTACATCTGCTAAGTGAGCTGGACACTATATGCCAGTCCATGGTTCCAGCAGCCACTCCAAAGGTTTCTTGTCATTCTTATAGGCCAATTCGGGTCGGTGTTGTGACGACATATCTCGTCATAATAAGTGACGTCTCAAAAGATCTTAGTAGTGACAACAACTATCACATGATCGGTGGATGTCAACAATGTTGACCGGGAGAACAAAGGAGAAGACGGAGTAGAAGAGAGGAAGAGAGAGAAAAGATAGCTTATCAGTTGGTAGAGAAGTGCAGAAGATAATCAAAAGACAAATAATGAATTTATTAGTTGAATTAATGCAACTAATAAATATATGAGAACTCTTAAAACAAGGATAAAATAAATATTATAGAATTATTAAAGGGCAAATAAGGAATTAAAAGTTTTTCTCCTTAAGCCACTTTTAGAAATAATATAGATATATTTGTGTGAGATATAATAATTACATTTAGATCAATTTCTGAAATAAGCTTAACCTAATTTGATAAAACTTGTGGTTTGCTATTTGGTAAAAATCCAATTTTTGCATTGTAGAAAAAATAGGTCAGTCAGTTAAAAACAAAAATAAGAAAGGAGACAATCCTATTATTCCAAACTTAAAAGCACGTCAAATTATTAAAAATAAGCTTCAAAACGAAATTGAAAACAGTGATGTCACTTCCTGGTAGTGACGTGGACACTGACAAAGTCCAATGTTTCTGGAATGTCTGCCCGATAAAATGGAGAACAAAAGACGGTGGGAAAGTTAAGTTTCTGGAATCATCTGTATCACTAGCTCATTGTCAAATGAGAACCTGGTCCTAATTTCAGTGTTCAAAACTTTGAATATGATCCAGTGTAGCATAAAACTTTGACGTTGGCATGCAGATCAAACAATTATACACATGATGATCCATAAAATTGGACATGAAATCAATATCAGTTGGGTTTATATCTAAGCACCACCCAAACTTATCACACAATTTTACCTAGTACTGAAACTTAAAGGGTTTCCCAAAATATGTGCTGTCCATGGGCTTGCAGTCCCAACTGCACCTCATACTGATTCTCATGCCCTGTCCAATTAATCCTGATGAACTCACCGGCTCTAAGACCCTTTGATGCAGCAAAATCGATCCACTGGTGCGTCAGAGAACGCCTCCCACTTCTCCTCACTGATGCTACGAATTCAAATGCTGTACCATCTCGGTCAGTTACAAGCATGATACCATTTCCCTCTGGCAAAAACTGTGCTTGGTTGGGTACTTCTAAATTGCGATTGATATCTGTCTCCGAGAGCTGTTTTTGGATGCAAACACGTTGGGGCTCCATGTCTAAGAAAAAAAAAGAATGAGGTTTGTATTCTTTGATAAAGTATAGTAGTGTTGTTGTAGTAGTAATACCACTAAACAAACAATGATAAACTTTTGTCGCAGTGAAACAGAAACTGCTTGTAACATATAGAGAGAGTGAGAGAGAGTTCAAACTTGGACAGAGATTCTGAGAGCTAGAGAGGGTCTCTTGAACTGAAATGTTGTAGACAAACAAGAGGTGTGAATAAATGGCCGGCTTATAAATAAAAAAAATCGTGGAATCTACTGCTAGACAACTGCACTGCCCGTTTGGTGCTTTCACAGGATAGCAGCCACAATCCTTTAGAAGTCGTTTTCAGGTGTGACTGAAAAAGCCATGCAGTCGGTAAAATGCATGTATGCCTGAGGTCTATTGGTTGGATGACAAACCAAAGTCATTAGTAAACCAAAGTCAGTAAAATGCTACAAGAATTATGGACTTTTTGGTTTCATATCTTAAAACATGTGGTTGACATAAAATGTTAAGGGGAGGGAAATCACACAACCTTTATAATTGGATTTGTTTTCTCGATCATGTCATCATGACTTTGCCATGCTATGGTTTACCGGTAACAGTTGAGACATGTTGGGAAAAGTACAAGAAAGAGCAACAATAATTATGACAGACAATTCTTATTTGACCTCTTTTGTCTTGGTGAAATCAGAGCAAAAGTATCTTACTTTTAGTGGGAATGACTTATCCGGATAAGTCTATCATACCCACAAATATTCAAGTTTATTGTCAGTTTTTAATTTTAATTCCATTAATTTATGATTATTGATAATAAAAATAATAAAATTTATATTTATTAAAAAATAAAAATAAAAGTACAATATTGAAATATTCTTCTTTCTATATGCATAACTTGTCCTAATAATTAGAAGAGATAAAATTCTTTACGGTTAATGTGTACTTAGCTTTCACTATCAAATATAAGTGTATTTGAAGGCATGTTGAGAAAAGAGACGTGGGGAGGTAGACAATAGTTGGAAAAATCTTATCTATAAAACAAAATATATAACAGGTATTTGCGATTTCACTCAATTAAGATCTGATGGGTTAAGCCCAAGTAGTCCAATTTATGTATTAAAGCCCAACCCCGGTTGAGGAGCCCAACCTCATTGTGAATCCACCAAGTCCAAGACAGACCAAGACCGGTTAGACTTCTTGCTTAGCACGTCACCAAGAGGAGAGCACGGGAAGTTTATCTGCACCGCCTTAAGGAGCCCAAGGCCGGCTAGACTTCTTGCTTAGCACGTCACCAAGAGGAGAGCACGGGAAGTTTATCTGCACCGCCTTAAGGAGCCCAAGGCCGGCTAGACTTCTTGCTTAGCACGTCACCAAGAGGAGAGCACGGGAAGTTTATCTGCACCGCCTTAAGGAGCCCAAGGCCGATTAGACTTCTTGCTTAGCACGTCACCAAGAAGAGAGCACGGGAAGCTTATCCGCACCACCGAAGGAAGGAAACGGTCCAATCTTTGACCACGTTTCCTTCAAGAGTTCCCCAACCTCTTCCTTCCGTTGAGGATAAGTCGTGATCTCCACCGAAGATAATCTCTAAGCTGCGATAAAGAAGCCTTGAGGATATGTTATGATCTCCACAAGAATGATCTCTTATCTACTATAAAATGGCTCTAATCTGTGAGAGAAAGGGACACATGCTCCATCAAACACTTACAGAGGATAGATCGACGACCGGAGATTATTATTTTCTTTGATTCTCCATTCCCCCTCTCAAAGCTTGTATCTCCATTCTCCATACCTTTGAATCAATAAAATACCCGGCGACTGAAGCCATTGAAGAGTGGACGTAGGTCGAATTGACCGAACCACTATAAATTGTGTCTTCTTTAATTTTTTCGTTGATTTCATTGCATTTATTATCTATACTTGACAGGTGGTGTGCAAAACCATTTTTGTGCATCATCAGTTTGGCGCCGTCTGTGGGAATCGACAAAATTCTCACTCCTGAACATTACGTCCATTAACTAATGGCGATCACTACTCGATCCATGAACCAACACGAAGACAATCCTCCACGAGAGGAGGAGGTTGCTCCCCCGCCTATCAACCCTGTTCCGGATACTCTAGCCCCGAATCCCCAACAAATATTGGAGACCATGCAGCAACTGGTTGCTCAAAACCAACAGTTACTGCAACTCATACTTGCTGGACAAGGAGGAGCACCACACGGAGGTGCACAACATGGAGGACCCCAAGGTGGAGCACCACACGGAGGTGCACAACGTGGAGCACCACATGGAGGTGCACAACATGGAGGGCCCCACAGAGGTGCACAACATAGAGCACCCCAAGGAGCTCCACATCCTGGACATCAAGGAGCACCACGCCCTGTTGCTCCACGCCCGGGTGCCCCATTGGGCACCCCACTTCAGGAAGCCCAACATGAGGGAGCTGCACCTCCCCCTCCCCTTGCTTTCCAGGGAGAGGACCCTTATCTCCAGGAGGATGAGGGTGAAAACCAAAGCATGGGGCATGGAAGCCACTTCCATGATCATTCCAGAGGAGCCCCCAATCATTGGGACGAGAAGATAAAGGAGGTACAGAATCAACTCGGTGATGTCTTCAACGCCATGAAGGCACAGGGACCCGAGACTGTTGACCACCTGGTAAGGCGTACTGATACCCCTTTCAAATCTGATGTAGCAAACTACCCCCTCCCTCAGAAGTTCAAAATGCCATCTGTGGAGACCTTTGATGGAACAAAGGATCCACTGGACCACCTCGACACTTACAAGACCTTGATGCAATTGCACAACGTACCAGACGAAATCATGTGCAGGGCATTCCCAACCACATTAAAGGGGTCTGCCCGACAGTGGTTTGCTAAGCTCTCCCCCGCCTCTATTGCCTCTTTCGCCGAGCTTAGCAGATCATTCGTCTCACACTTCATAGGAGGGCGTCGCCACCAGAAACCAGTTACGCACCTGCTTAGTATAAAGCAGGACCGCGAGGAGAGCCTGAGGAGTTACCTCACTCGTTTTAACGAGGAGGTACTCCAAGTTGATGAACCTGACGACAAGGTGACAATGACCGCTTTCTTGGGTGGCCTCCGTTCATCAAGTTTCCTTTTCTCAGTTCTGAAGCGCCCACCGAAGAGCATGCCAGAGCTGCTAGCCAAGGCCCAAAAATACATAAACGCAGAAGATATCACAAGGGCCAGGCGGGGTGAGTCTTCCAGAGCTGGTGAGAAAAGGAAGGAAAGAGAGAAGGACGATAAGAAGGAAACCAGCAACAAATATGGCAGGACAGAGAAAGTCCCTGTCAAGGACCGGCTAGGTCCTGCTCCTCAGAGGAACCGTCAACCTTTCACTCCCCTCAATGCTTCCGTGGAACACATCCTATTCCAGATCCAGGATGACCCCGCGATAAAGTGGCCTGGAAAAATGAAGTCTCCTCCAAATCGCAGAAATCCTAACAAGTATTGCCGCTTCCATCGTGATCACGGGCATGACACCGACGATTGCTACGACCTCAAGAGGCAAATTGAGGAGCTCATCCAGCGTGGTCACTTGCGTCAATACGTTGCTGGAAGGGAACGTGAACCACAACCTCACAACCAGGAAGATCAGCAGCCTGTGGGGGAAATCCACACTATCTCGGGGGGACTAGCAGGTGGAGGAGAATCACTTTCCGCGATGAAGGCTCATGCCAGGAAGGCAAGACATGTCTACGAGATGCGCCCATCTAAGGTGCCGAAGCAGGAAAGCGACGAGGTCATATCTTTTTCAAACAAGGACCTGGAGGAAATCCAACACCCCCATGATGACCCCTTGGTGCTCACCATGACGGTGGCCAACTTTCATGTGCACAGGATCCTGGTAGATAGTGGCAGCTCTGCAGATATCCTATTTGCAGAGGCCTATGACAAGCTCAATCTGGGCAGGGAGAGGCTACAGCCAATCAGGTCACCCCTCATTGGATTCTCAGGGGAAAAGGTGTATCCCCTTGGATCCATCACACTTCCCGTCACCGCCGGAGTAACACCCCGAAGCTCCACAGTCATGGTCAATTTCCTGGTAATAGAATGCCCGTCGGCCTACAACATCATATTAGGGCGACCAGCTCTTAACACATTAAGAGCTGTGCCCTCTACCTACCATCTCGTTCTCCGCTTTCCAACCTTAAATGGAGTCGGAGAGGTCAAAGGGGACCAAATAACAGCCAGAGAGTGCTATGTATCCTCTATGAAGGCTAGGAAGCCCCAAGAAGCATTGCAAGTTGAGGTCCTTGACCCAAGGGATGACTCCGCCACAGAAAGAGGAGAACCAGTCGAGGAACTCATCCCTGTGGTCTTAAAAAAGGAGCACCCAGACAGAAGAATTTACATTGGCTCTTCCCTTTCTGAAGAGCTGGCTCCCCTGTTGATTGAATTTTTGGAGCATAATATGGACATCTTTGCTTGGTCGCATGAGGACCTTGAGGGCATCAACCCGGAAGTAGCTACCCACCACCTCAATGTCGATCCGCTGTACAAGCCTGTTCGCCAAAAGTTAAGGGGAGCCTCCACTGAAAGGGCCCAAGCCATGGACAAGGAGATTAGAAAGCTGGTTGATAACGGAGCAGTCAGGGAAGTGGCGTATCCAGAGTGGCTCTCCAACGTAGTAATGGTCACTAAGGCTAATGGGAAGTGGCGTCTCTGTGTCGACTTCACAGAACTGAACAAGGCATGCCCAAAAGATAGTTATCCACTGCCGCGGATTGACCTCCTCATCGACGCCACCGCTGGGCATGAGTTGCTCACTTTCCTGGATGCATACTCGGGGTACAACCAGATTAGCATGCATCCCCCAGACCAAGAGAAGACATCATTCATCACGCCAAAGGGGACATACTGCTACAGGGTCATGCCCTTTGGGCTAAAGAATACTGGAGCAACCTACCAACGGCTGGTGAACAAGATGTTCCAGTCTCAGATCGGGCAAACAATGGAGGTGTACGTGGATGACATGCTGGTAAAGAGCCTTGCAGCAGTAGACCACATTGATCACCTCCAAAAAACTTTCAACGTCCTGAGGTCCTATCACATGAAGCTCAACCCTGAGAAGTGCGCCTTTGGTGTGGGGTCTGGTAAATTCCTGGGCTTTATGGTCAATCAGAGGGGAATTGAGGCAAACCCTGACAAGATCAAGGCCATTCTTGACATGAAGTCACCCTCTTCAACCAAAGAGCTCCAGCGCCTCAATGGAAGGATCGCAGCATTAAATAGGTTTGTCTCCAAATCTGCAGATAAATGTCTCCCCTTTTTCAAAACTCTCCGAAAAGCCTTTGAGTGGAAACCTGAGGCAGAGGAGGCTTTTCAAAAGCTTAAAGCCTACCTAGCAGCACCTCCCCTCCTGTCACATGCTGCTCCTGGAGAGACTCTCCATCTATACCTATCTGCTTCCCCATCAGCGGTAAGCTCAGTGCTCGTTAGAAACAACAATGGTGTGCAGAAACCAGTTTATTATGTGAGCAGGGCGTACCGGGGGGCAGAAGTCAGATATTCAGCACTAGAAAAACTGGCACTCGCTCTGGTCACAACAGCGAGAAGGCTACGACACTACTTCCAGGGCCATCGTATGGTGGTCATCACCGACCAACCACTTAAAAGAATCTTGGGAAAGCCGGACGTGTCTGGAAGACTTCTTAAATGGGCAGTAGAACTCGGGGAATTCGACATTCAGTACCAACCTAGGACGGCCATCAAAGCACAAGCCCTAGCAGATTTCGTAGCTGAACTCACACCAACAGAGGATGGGAACAGTGAGGATCCCCAAATGCCCAACGAAGACATCAAAAAGCCTAACAAAGACCCTCAAGCAAGCGCCCAAGTCTCCTCCCTAGGAGCCCAAACAACTTTTTCTGATGCCCAGGCACCACAAGCTGCACCTCAGGATGCCCAGACACCACAGGCTGCACCTCCGGATGCCCAGGCACCACAAGCTGCACCTCAGGATGCCCAGACACCACAGGCTGCACCTCAGGATGCCCAGGCACCACAAGCTGCACCTCAGGATGCCCAGGCACCACAGGCTGCACCTCTGGATGCCCAGGCACCACAAGCTGCACCTCAGGATGCCCAGACACCACAGGCTGCACCTCTGGATGCCCAGGCACCACAAGCTACACCTCAGGATGCCCAGACACCACAGGCTACACCTCTGGATGCCCAGGCACCACAAGCTGCACCTCAGGATGCCCAGACACCACAGGCTGCACCTCTGGATGCCCAGGCACCACAAGCTGCACCTCTAATTCCTGCACCACAGGCTGCACCCTTGGATGCCCAGGCATCACAAGCTACACCTCCGCATGCCCAGGCACCACAGGCTGCACCTCCCCGGTCTTCCACTTTAAAATCCAAATTCTCCATTCATCTGCTTTGGAAACTCTATGTAGATGGCTCCTCGACTAGCGAAGGAGGAGGAGCGGGCTTAATTTTGATCAGCCCAGATGGCACCACTCTCAGATATGCGATGAAGCTCCACTTTTACGCTTCCAATAATGAGGCGGAATATGAAGCCCTCCTTTCTGGATTAAGGTTAGCAATGGAAATGGAGGTTCAACACCTTGCCGCCTACAGCGACTCTCAGTTGATAGTCAATCAAGTGAGGGGCGAGTTCGAAGCCAAAGGAGCCAAAATGCAAGAATATCTCAACATGGTCAGAAACATGATCACAAAATTTCACTACTTCCAGATAAACCACATCCCCAGAGAGGATAACATGGCTGCCGACGCACTCGCAAAGCTTGCTTCATCCAT